TGAACCACGTCTGAGAATGGATTCTGCTGTGAGAAGATGTGTTGCCAGTGTCAGCGGGTTGTTGGCAGGTTGTACTAGATCTCAGTTTAGTGGAAAGGGTGTTATTCTGTGTTTCTCTGGGAGTCTGGCATCAGCCTAGAGTGAATTTCGTTGAATTTGTATCCTTTGCCCAGAAGTAACAGAAGTTGGGTAGTTCCATGTTGGCTTAAACCAGCAGCTGGTTATGGCTGTCCATGGCCACTTGGCTGACCCCATCTCATTAGCGCTGTAATTGTGAGAGACACTGTGATTTCTCACTAGGAAGAAAGCCCAACTGGATTAGTGAGCTTAGCTGACTCATCCCACGCCTGCACAGTACTGGAATGCCACTAGAGATAGTGACCAGGGACAGCTGGGGAGGTGAACAACCTGACATTAGGTCTGGCCCCATATAAACTGACTGAAAAACCACAGAAGTATTCAGAGGTGATGTGCAGGCCCACTGAAATACTCAGTCCTCCCTGTGGGATCTCTCTGGGTCCTTGCTGCATCATTGGAAAGTGCTATCATCATCTTGTGTGGAACAGTTGTCAATGGTGCCCCGTGGCTGAGAGTGGGGGATCAGGATCCTTTTATGGGGCTGTATCAGCCCTATCCTCTACCTGACCAAGAATCAGGCATGGATTCTGCATGTGGCAGTGCTCGAACAATCTACGAGGGCAGAGCAGCCCTGTATACAGACCCACTGTTGTTGGAGCCTGAAGCACATCACTGAAGCAGACCTTCTGGAAGGGGTGGGCTGTTTGAATCTCCTAAAAGCATGACTGGCTTGTGTATCTATCCTCTGCTGTTGCCAAACTCCTTTGGCTGTTGAGGCAGGTTGGGTCTGGGTCGGGGCTTGCAAGAGCAGAGTGGTTTTCATGCCCAGTGAGCAAGGGATTGATTTGCTCTCCCTTAAACTGATCCAGCTGCACAGGATATTTGGGAAGAAGAGGGAGTTTGCTCCTGAGACCCCTGGGAAATGTACTACCTTCCATCCTGTTTTACTGTGTCCTAGGGACAGTGGGAATTAATAAGTTATAAGTGGACATGGGGCCAAAAGGCCATTTGGAGTCAGAGACGGGGCGTGCAAAAACCTCCAGTTCAGCCTTGGAGTGTCAGCCACAGATGCAGATGCCCTACACAGTATATGAGACTCTTCAAGTGCTGTCTCGGCTCTAGCATGCTGCCGAGAGTGATTTTCATACAGAAACTAGGTTGCTCAGCAAAACATGTCCTGCAGGGCTGTTTTTTCCAGCCCTCCTCTGCCAGCTTGATGCAAACATGGTTTTGGGCTAATGTCAGCAAAGAGCCGTTTTGTCAGGCCCTGGGAACAGTGCAGGACTTGGCCTCAGACTGCTTTTGTTTTGATCAGGAAGGGGTGAAGCTCTGGAAGGGCTCTGACAGGCGGGCTGCACTGGCTTGAATGTGATCCAGCCTCCAATGGGGTTTGCTGGAGGCTGCTCCATTCTCTCTGAGTGTGGGGCAAGCCCAGAAGCTCACCCTTTGCTGGCTTTGGAGGCATGGCCTTTTTGCTTTGGACTAAAGCCGCAGTTAGCAGCCAAGAGAGATAAAGAGGAGATGGAGGTGTGCAAAGGTGAAGAGCTTGCCCAAGGAGATACAGGCAAGACCTGGAACCCAGCTGTTAGGAGTCAGCTACTAACTTACTAGAGACTGCTGTGTCTGTAGGATTTTTCTGTGCCAAGAGGAACAGGAATAATCTTCCAGAGCAGAACAGTTCTCACTCTGTTTTCTACCCATCTGCAGATTTCAAAGACCTTAAACTGTTTAATTCAACGTTATATGTCAGTGTTTTCCTAGGAACTGCGTTAGAAGAGCAGAGTTTAGTGGTCCATCCAGTTCCTCCCTGTCTCTGACAGCAGCCAGTCCCACTGTGTTGGAGGATGCCACAAGGACAGCAACAGGCCCTTTTCTTCCTTTACTCCCTGGGAGTCTGTAGATATGGCAGTAGATATGGAGATGTGGTTGGAGAGAGGGTCTCAGATCCACTTGCTTCTCTGCTAAATTTCTCCTCAGGCATTTCTAATGACTTTGTACCGTTTGCTGATGGTGATTTTCCACTTAAAAAATCAGGTTTCTCCCTGCCTGACTCCCCAAGTGCAAAGCCTAGTTAACACCCTATAAACATCTCAAAAATAAGGGGCTTTCAGGGGATTTGGTGGTATTACCATTCAGTGTTTCTAGTGGATGTTTAATGTATTAGTTGGCAGAAACAAAGTGGTGTCCAATGGTTTGAAAAGGAGATAGACCAGGTTTAGAAGGTAAACTGCTCACCAAATACAGTTAGAGCTCATGTGTGAAATTCAGAAGAAGCTTTTCCATTGCTCAGAAACAGTTGGCAAAAAGCATATACTGTTCTAGCAGCTTATTTAAAACATAAAGCAATGTTAGTGTAAAGTATTGATGCTGTAGTGAGCTGCCAGTGTGCCCCACAGCACAACACGTGGCCATCTCCAGCCAGGTGCCTTCTCACGGACAGCAGGTAAAACGCTTAGGGAGAGCAAATGATGTGCAGAAGAGGCCCCCTGGAGCAGAACTGTGGTTAAGAAACTGTGTCCTTCCTGACAAAGAGCGTTTGGCAACGCTGATTCTTTCAAGTAGGGTTTTCCATAGGTTTCGGAGTGTCATGCAAACTAGCAAAGTGTTTTTATTGCCTTTTGGAATGTGAAGAGAAAAAGATACAGAGGCTCATTCAACATGTGGTGGACCACCATTAGTACATGGAGGACAGCCAAAGTCTTCATTCCAGCTTAGGGCTTTGGCCATCTGTGTTAATAACAATCCTTAAGTTAAAAATAATCTCTTGGCTACTGAGAACCACACTGAGTGGTTGAGATTTGCTTATGGAAACCCCAAAGAGACAGGGCCAGACTCACCTGCTGTGGAGCATGTTTGTATTTGCAAGGAACTTAGCCCTTTGTGCTCTGTTTGACAGTACAGCCCCCACCTTCCTTCCACGTCCTTCCACGAACTCCAGCTCTGATTGCTAGACTGTAACAAGAGGCAAGTTACTGTAATTGCTCTCAGCAGTATTTGAACGCAGATGCTTTAAAACATTTCAGCAATAAGGTAACTATCTTTTCTTGTACTAATACATTTTTCTTGATGGAGAGGGTGGGCTGGGGATGTTCAAGCCAGCTCAAATGCTTGACAGTTCCCACATACTCCGCTTCCTTTTAAACACCCACATGCGCTGCTTTGCTTTTTCATTTGTGTAGCACCAATTAAATATCAGGGGAAAATAAGTTTTATGTATGCTAGTGAAATAAGTGCCTCATGACATCAATTAGAGGTCTTGTACAGTAAGTCTCCAGAATTAAAAAAAAAAAGTCATAAAAATATATGAAGAGTATGGCAAAAGGAGCAGAGATAGACAGATAACTGTGTGGGATTAGGCTTGTGACTGCTGAGTTATGACTCTTTTTTTTTTTCTTCTCTCTTCTGTACCTTTCCATTTCAAAGAAACCTGCCTGCCTTGTAGATCATCATCCATACTGCAAGGTGAGCTCATTCAAAGACTTTACTGCTGCCTGTCCTGGAGAGTTTATTTTCATATGTTCTTGTCTTGTTTCTCTTCCTTCAAAATACACACTAATTTGCTGTCAGGCAGGAAGTGCTTGGTGCTTTCTGGGCATGGGAAATGCTACCAGGTTACAGGTAGGGAGTTTCAAAGGTGATTTGGTAGAACTTTCCTAAAACTTGGTGCAAAACAGCCAAGTCCCTCTAGAAATATTTAGGTGCCCGATTCACCTCAACCCTGCTAGAGGCCAGAATGCACCATAGCTGCCTAAGTATCTTTATGCACTCTGGCCTGATGTATCTTTATCACTTTTGTAAGTGTAATGGATGATCCTATGCCATTTAAAATTGCATTCACTTCACAGAGCAAGTTGGAGGTCCTGGCTCCTTGAATGAGGAAGGGGAACAGCCTCATCCTCATCCCTTTGTAGACATTATCTTGTGGGGTCAAGTTGGTCAGTGGAGGACCCAGCCCCTCTCCACTGGTGAGGGAGGGAACCTAGGTGATTGACTTGTCTTCAAAAATTTAGTTTGCTGAAGCTTAAAGTTCAGGAGATTAGTCTCTTCCTTAAAGGCTGTGGGAAATACTGCCAGAAAAACTTGTAGGAGCTTTTTTTCGCCCTTGTAGATAGTATCAGTCATAGCCCTTCACCTGGAAATTTTGTACTTTTCTGTTAGGTTGCTTTTCTGAATAATATATATGTTGATTTAAAGTTATGTGGAATCAATGTTGTATCCAGGTCAGGTTTTCTGACATTTAGAACCTCCCTCAGCTTGATGCGTGCAGAGTATTTTAAGTATTTCAGAATTTGAAAGGAATTTATATAGCATAGTGGCCAGTGATAATAAAGACCTGTACTTGTCTATGCCAAGAAACCTGCTCTCCTCCTGTATCATTTAAATTTCCATTTGCTGAATCTTATCTGCCTTTGTCCCTACTACAAGGCATTTTCCCCTGAACAAAAGGACGCTTGAACAGTCAGTTGTCTCATGACTTTCCTTTGTGTTTAAATCTCATGGGAAAACAGATTCTCCAGATATGAGGTCTTTCCTAAGGCTTGTTTCTCATATGATAAGGGATGGGTTTGAATGAGAGCTGCGAAATCAAAGCTGTGACAACTACTGGGAAGTTTAGGCTTGGTCATGGTCCTGGCCTCTGAGCTTGGTGCTACCCAGGGAAGGGAGGTTTTCAGCTAGGCCTGCAGCTTATGGATGTTGCTGTTAACAGCAGTATAATTGGCACTTGAATGTGCAAGTGAAAATGATTTATCCTACCAGTAATTCACCTTGAGGTTTTAAGTCTTGTTTTCTGGGCTGTGTTTTATTTATTTCATTTTATAAAAAATGTGTTCACACTCAAATGAAATGCAAGTATGCCATTGTCCCTGTTGTGTAGTTTACTTTAATTTGTCTTCCTGTGCTGAGCCTGATTCTGAGATTTTTTTTTTGCCTTTTTTTGCAACAGAAAATGTCTTTTTGATTGGAGAGATCAAATATATAGGGGTTAGCCTGTGGAAAAAGCAAAGCTTAGATGTTCTAATGTAATTTGAGGATGCCTACAAAAAGCTAATTGCTAACTTGTGTAATGATGGCATCAGTGGAAAGTCAGCCAGTCCCTGTGATCCTAGGAGCTATTGGTTGTAGGGCTTTTCCTGACATTCCTCACCCTCATGAATATCACAGTTTTATCTAAGGGAAATCATCCTTTCACTAGGTAGCAATAGTTGTGGTCTATCTTCTGCCTCTTCCCCAGGCCTCCTGACAGGTTCCATGGGAAAATAATATTTCCTTTCTTTCTTTCTTTTTTTTTTTTTTACAGTCAGGAATTCAAATTAATGATGACATATTTTTAGCATCAGCAACATGGTTCTGGTCAGCAAACGCATTTTGGTTTTGCTTGACGTAGTACATTTTCACTATGCTACAAGAAGATTTGCTGGTGTCTGTTACAAAAAGGCAGAACAGAAGAAACTCCTTATCTGTTCATGTAAAGACATAAATGCAGAGTAACTCTAGTGAAGATTTTGTTCATCTGGCTTAGATAGATGATCTCATCTAGTGTGACCATCATGTCTGGGTTTGCTTTGGATTTTCACCTGTGAAACTCAGAAGTATTCACCTGTCTGCATTAACTGAGCTGACCTCAGCAAGCAGATACAGACGGATGAAGCCTGCAGATTGAGTTGTGCACACACCACACACATATATATGCTGTAGAAGAAAAACAGAATGGTTGAAATCACATCAGGATTGAAGTGATTTATTGATTTATTGATGACATGTAATTAATCTGCAATCAGTATACATTTGTACCCCATACTGTCAGGCTGCTTGCGACGCCCAGTGGGACGATGATCCAACTGGCCTGCGTGGAGGCTGCAATGCTGGTGGGGTGACTTCTGGCAGGGTCAGACCTGGAATGATTGCTGTTCTGTTCCTCTTCCCCACTCCAAGGTCTCCCCTGCCTCCAGTCACAAATATTCAGGTTTTCTTTTTACTTCTTTACAGGCTGACACCTTCTTTTCTTTAAATTCTCTTGCTAATCTCCTGCTTTACAATAAATGAACAAGAATGAGTGCAAAATGCCCTGGAGTGTCCAAAGGCTCCCTGCTCTGGGGTTTGTGGGACATCTGAGCTCCTTCTGGCTTTTTGCTCCCTTTGCTAGCACTGAGTGGCTGATGATAGGGTCTAAAAACAACTGTGCAAAGCCAGAGCCAGGGCTATGTTGCCAGCAAGGGCTGTATCACATACAACCAGCCGTGGTGGAGGGAAAGAATGGATGGAAATGGCTTTTGCATAGTGCCGTGGGGTCTGCAAGGGCCACGTATTGTACTGGCTTCTGCTTTGCCTCTGCCAAAGAGGCTTGCCAAGGAGGATGTGCCTCCAGCATTTGCCTGTTGGATGCAGTGAAAGTCTTCCTTTCCAGGGGCACGTTCAGAGAGGCCTGGAAAGCATGTGGAGTGGTGCTGTGTGCATCATGCTGGCTGGGGATGTAGCTGGCCGCTGGCAGAAGCTGATAATCTGGAGCCAGGGACCATTCTCATTGATCCTGCTTCCTCAAGAAAGCCTGCCTGGCTGGTATGTGGCAAGAGTCTTGCAGGCAGCTTTAGGTGCAGGAGACACTGGGGCTGGGGGAAAGGCATTGCTCCAGCTGGGAAGTGCCCCAGCTAGACGGAACCTACCGTCTGCTGGGGGAGCCCATCTGCTCACAGGGGTTGTGCAGGCGACACAGCCTTTCTGCTGCCCGTAAGTACAGTTGTTTCCATCCATTCTTTCTCTCAACCATGGACTTATTCAGTCCTGGCTGTATCTGACACAGCCCTTGCTGGCAACGCAAGTGCCCTGGCTCTGCTTTTGTGCAGCTGTTTTCAGACTGTCCTAGCAAATATGTTTTGCTTACGGCATGGTTGCTATCAGAGAGCATTTCTGCATGGCATGTTAGTAAGCACCAGACAGCAATAGCTTTTGCATACTGCTCCCTTGAGCAAGGCTCAAGACACTAGGCTTCCCACTCCAGGGCAATCCCCACGGACAATCCAGCCTCCCAGTTACTGGCAGAGGTGTCTTTGCTCGCAAGAAGCTCCTTTCTTTCCTTGTAATAGGAAGAAAAGTCCTAGGAAGTGTGGCAGAAGAGGAGGGTTGGCTTTCTGGTAAGAGAGGGGAGGAAGAGTCCATTCCTCCCCTTTTGCAGGAAAATTTGCTGTCTAGGAGAGGTAGGACCTGAGGTTTGAGTCCTCGGAACAGAGCACACACCTAGTTTGGTTGTCCAAGGCAGGCTGGCCCCAGCTGTGGATGGAGTCTGGGAAAGCCCAGCTGCTGCATTGTGTGCCTGGGGCGATAACAAGCCTGCTGGGTGGTGGGTTATTCTGGAGCCGAGAGTGCTTTATTGCTATAATGAGGGAATAAATGAGCCCTGATGTCTCCCCAGTCGTGCTGGGCTGGGCCCAGCAGTGGTCGTGGGCCCTGAGGGTGCATTGGGCCATGTGCTTTTGTGGGGTGTGTGCCCAGGGCTACTCTACTACTTCTCTGCTGGTGGCAGCAGCTTTTGGAGCCCTGTTAAGCAGTGTCATGCTACATGACAGCATGCTGTCATGCAAAGGCAGGCCCAGTAAGCCCGCGCGGGGGAGCCGGACCCTCGCCTGCTGCACACAGGCACCTCTCCAGTGGGTGCAGGCAAGGCAAGCTCAGAGGAAGACTGTGCCTCACATCTGTTTTTCAAAGTGACTGTTAATTTTATTTTTTTAAATCTGGCAGGGAGTGAGGTACAGCCCTTCCCCATAATGACATTTCACAACTTACAAAAATCTCCTGGGAGGTGCGTATTGGTTGCCGTGCAGAGGGGGACCTCCTTGCTCACTGTGAGCGGCCGCTGGAGCCTTGGGGATGTGGGGAGTTTCCCCAGGAGGTGGCGAAAGCCAGTGGCACCAAGGCTTTCCTCTGCCTCTCCCCTCTCCCTGCAGAAGTAGCAGCCTCAAAAGGAAGGAGCAGCTCCTCCGCAGCAGTGGGGCAGCCTGAGGCAGCTGGGCCAGGGCAGCCAGTTTGGCACCGGCTTTGGCATCTCCTCCTGTGGCCAAGTCTGTTCTTCTTGCTAGGATTGAATTCCAACGGGGGATAGCTGGAGGCACCCAGGATACAGGCAGCCACCCCAAGTGCTTTGCTCGCTCACGCAAAAACAGTTTTGGATGCTCTAAGCCTCCATGGTGACGTGAGGATGTGCTTTGCCCTGCTGCCCTCCCTCTCGCTGCCTGAGGGCTTTTCCCCTGAGACAGATCTTACTGCTGCAAGTCCTTCTCCCACCCTCTTCCCCTCCCTTCCCAGATCCTAGGGAGCCTTCAAATAAATCTTGGCATTTTGAAAGGCCATTTTCTCCCCCAGCCTACATGTCAGCACTAATCTGAGGACAAACAGCCACATTTATAAAAATAAAATAAAGAGCTGGCTCCCACTTGGCAGCATAATGCAAGGGGCCATTTCCAGCGTGCTGAGGATACTGCGGGAATTCTTTGTGGACAAAGAGGTAATTGATGAACTAGGTCAGGCTGGGAAGGGATGGTACGTGGGAAAAGCACTGAACAGAGAGGCCCCTGAAAGGGAAGCCTTTCCCTGTGGAAGGGGCACCTCCCAGGCAGCTGGCCTTGCCCTGAAGGGACCTGTTGTGGTTGTGCCCTGGTCATCTGGAGGCAGAACAAGCTCTGGTAAGGCTGGAGGAGGAGAGGGGCACCTGCAAATGTGCTGTTCTGCAGAGGAAAAGCTCTTTTTTCTGTTTCTATTTTACTGAAACGTGCTAATATTGAGGGAAGGTCTTTCAGAGCCTTCTGGAGAAGTGCTTGAGCGTTTAGTGGTTAGAGCAGCAGCTGGAGGGTAGTGGCCACAGCTCTGCTGGTGAGTGGCTACTGCTCCAAGGTAAGTTTGTGCCTTGATCCGTGCCTATTTCTCCAGCCACAGAACAGGAGAGGAAAAACCCTTGCATCACAGGACTGGGGAGAGAGCTGGGTAAGCCTGGAGAGTGCATCTTCTTCAAGGCTGGGGGGGCCTCCCTGATTCTTGGGGTGACCCTTTGCCATTCATTTTCCGTGTTTCCTTGGTGGTTTGAAGTCAGTAGGATCCATCAGACCCTGTCAGCATCCCCTTATGTCCTGGCCAACTGTGCCAGATGTGGAGGTGATCTGCTGCATCTCATTCCCTCAGGGTAAAGCACTGCTTGCTTGGCCTGGACCTCTAGCATCTCCAGTCCTATATCCACTCTCATGCCCCATGACCCTCCACACCGTCCACAGCCTTGGGCAAAAAAAGGCCCCTTGCTGCACCCTGCCACCACCTTGTGCCAGTGCCTTACCCTGTTGCACCCCTGCCCCAAGTCCTTTAACATTTTGCATGTTAGAGAAGCAGCCCCTTTTGGGATCTGGATGAATCCTCCCTTTGGAAAGGAAACATCTCAAGGGTCCCAGCCAGAGCAAGGTAGCTTTAGCAGGATCAAGTGTGATTGTTTCATCAGTTTGGTTCTGCCCCTTCCTTCTGTGCAAGCCTCTTCTTTCTTTGCGTTGATGTACAGCAGAGCATTTGGGCTTGAGCTGTATGGGGTAGGGGCTGGCATGGGCTGCTTTCAGGGAGATCTCTGCCAGTGCTAGCTCTCAGGAGCAGTGACCTTCCCCCAGAAAAGCCCTCAGCAGATCCCTGCAGACACAGCCCATCACAGGAGCTTCATTGCTTGTGTGTCCCTGAGTCAGAGCTGGTTTAAATATTTGTCCCTGTTACCTCTTTCATACTCCCTGCCTGATCTAAGTGCACTATGTCATCTTCTGGGCCCACTGGCTGACGGAGACGAGAGCAGTTCCCCATTCATGAGCAGTTCCTGGGCATCACTCCAGCAGGTGTTTGCCATGAAATTAAGTAGGAGCCCATGCTGTCCTGTTAGTTTTGGTGGGACTGGGTTCCCACAGTCCATAGGTGACTGTCCAGTGTTGGCAGCTTTGGGTCTGGCTGCTTTCTGAAGTTTGGCTTGTTCCCCTGCTTTGCAGCCACCTGAGTCTCAGCCTGGAGCTCTCTTACTGTTCATGGTGGGGATCCCTGCCCTGCTCTGCACCATTTGTCTGCCTGCCTGCCCTTGTGCCAGCCATGCCCCTTGCTTCAGCCCTGTGCTGTGCTTGAACTTCTGTCTCAATGTAGCTCTGCCACCGTATCTGACCCTGCTTGGGAGCTCTCTCTCTGAATCTTGGTTGCAGCAACTGCTCACGTTGGTGGACTGTGGGTCGATGAGGCTGCTACTGCAAATGTTTTATGCTTGTCTCAGTGCAGATTTTGCCTAGCTGTATACAAGCGATGAAGCCCTGAAGTAATCCACTGGATCAAGGGATGCTGATACAGCTCTTCATTCACTGCAAGACCTAGGACAAAAACTTAGGGAGGGTAGGACTTTCCTTTGCTTCAACTGGAGACTTTGAAGAATGACACTTCTGTTGGCTCTTTTCTTGTTCGGTTACAGTCTGGCAAAGCAGCCGTTGTAAAGGCTATTAGTGGCAGTGTATAAAGGCTAGCTGAGATCTTGAGGCTCAGGGAATCTCATGTACTTGTGAACATGTACTGTAAGTGGAAAGTGCTCAGCTAGCTTTGTAACAGACAAGTGATTATTTAAAATTATCCAAAAGCAGGTGCATGATTCAGATCTTAGACAGGGTGTCAGAAGCCCCTTTTCTACTTCCTGTGAATTTGCTTTGCTTGCATCTTTGGAAGTAATTGGAGGCAAGGGGTGTAGAAGAAGTGGGGAGATGGTATATGGCTTTGGAGGAGTGTGAATATCTCGCTGGAGATATTCAAAACCCGTCTGGATGTGATCCTGGGCAATGTGCTCTAGAGGACCCTGCTTGAGCAGGGAAGTTGGACTAGATGATCTCCAGAGGTCCCTTCCAACCTAAACCATTCTGTGATTCTGAACTTGGTACTGTAAAAAGCAGAAAAGGTAATGGAAGAAGGGATTTGTAGAGGAAACTATGAGAATCAGAACAGTGGAAGAGGATGATAATTTAGAAGAGGGAGCTAGAAGGTTAGAGACACATTCAGGACAGGCAGACAAGAAGAATGTGTGTTGAAATGCAGAGTTAAAGAGGGTGCTGGGGTGTTTCCTTGTTACGTGATTCTTTAGAGCTTGTAGCAGACAAAAAGCACCGGCTGAGTGCAGGACCCGTTAATGGGTAAGGACCTGTTTAAGATTGTCAGTTTCCTGGCTAGCATGCTCAAAGTCACAGTCCTCTGGCTGCAATAGTAGCTAAGTCCTGCCTTGAGCGCTGGGATAACTGATGTAGCATTAGTATGTGCTAAGTGACTATGTTAAAAGTCCAGTTTAGATAAGGTGGATTTTAGCCCAACTTAAACTAGCTGAGCAAGGCAAAGCTCTCCAGGATTTTCCTGGGCTGCTGGAGCATATGTTGAAGGTGGTGCACCCTATCCACCCTGGACCCTTAAAAGGTATAAGTGAACATGTGGTAATTTGACATCTTTAAATTCTAGTCTGAAGAAGCCCAAATATAATCTGCATAACGCAGGCCTAAGCCCAGGGTGATTTATCAGAGAGACGGCAGCCAATGCTTCCCAGTGCAATGTGTGCTCCAGGGTACTTCGTGGCAGAGCAGTGGCTTGTTTCCTCTGCATTACTCTTGTGGCTTCATCTAGACTAGGTCTGGAGTCTGCAGTTATTTTTTTGATGTGTAAGTGCTGCTACTGGCTCACTGTGAAATATGCTGTGTTTTAGCTGCTGCCCCATGATGTGTGAGACAGGGCTGATCGCACCGGAGCCCTCTAGCCCCATGCAGTACTATGGCGAATCATCTGATACCTACTACCACGTTGACCGCTGGCAGAGGCTCCGCACGGCTGTCAGGAAACTGGAGTTCTGGGAAAACTTCAACGCTGAGCTGATAGGTAGTGGCTTCTTCTCCAAGGTCTACAAGGTAAAAGTGCTGTGGGTGACCCAACATATTGTGAGGCAGTCACTCTGACATGCAAGCAGCCCTTGACCTGTGTGGCAGCAGCATAGTAGTTGGCCAAGTCTCAGTGTAGACAGTGCCTCATCTCAGGAACCTGTCCACCAGCTTGTTTTCTTGTCTTCCTCCCTCTTCGCTCACCCTGACGAGCTGACTGGGATAAGGGAGGGGAGGACACCACCTTGGTGCACCCAATACATCTCCTTTGATGTGCATCTCCTTTATAATAGGAGCCTTGAAGGGTGTGAGCTGACTTGCAATGAAAAAAGGAGACAGAGGAGGACGTGGCTGAGCAATGTTCACTCATACTGTAATCTACCAATGCAACAGGCTTGCAGGGAGCTAAATATGGATATTGGGTAACCTCAGGACGAGATGAGGGGCTATTTATGCTCTATACAGGTTTTGTTGTCAAAAATAAAGCAAAACATATAGAGAAAAAGAGCCCAAAATTAAGCTCCGTGTGTGTCCCAGGATACTTGCTGCCCATGCCTCATGGAGATGCCAGCTCCTTCATCCCTTTTTTGGTGCCTTGCTGCCCCGCATTACAGTGATGCTGGAAAAAAGCAAGAGACTCTGTGGTAATGTCAGGCTGGGATGGACTGCTGGTCCATTGACTTTTCCCCTCTCCTGCCTTGTGTGAGGAAACCCATCGCTCCTTGCAATCCAATGCCTAATGCACGATGATGTATCACCAAGGCAAAGGTGCTTTTCTCACTGTGGCTGTTGTGAGACACTCCCTGCACCAAGCTCCACTGGTGTGGGAGTTTGTTTAACCCTCTCTGCACAAGCACAAGATCCAGGGCACTGCTAACTTTGCTTCCGCTCCAAAGCTGCTTCTCAGCCAAGGAGTGCTTTAACATCTCGCCAGTGCTTATTTCAGATGAGCTCTTAGCAGTCCTCTGTGATTACTTTGTTATGAATACCAAAGAGAAAGAAGGTGCTTTGCATTAGGAAGTGAGACTCTATCCTTCATCTATGGGAGCACACAACAAAGCCATTTTGCTTTGCAGTGTGGCCAGGTTTGTCCACGTGTCATCTCCCTTCCCAGAAGCCCTCCAGAATGAGTCTTCTGACACTGGCTTTGGTAGTTGGGATGTGACACAGACCCAGTGGAAACAGCCTGGGCCTGACTCTGCCATCTCCCTCATCTTCTTAGCTTGTCCAGGCCTGGAATGGACACCACGACCATGTGTTTCTCCTGGACCAACACAAGATGCTACTGCCAGAGCAGTACTTTGATGTTATTCTGGGTGAGATCCCTGGCTAGCGTAAGCAAGTGTGGTCCTATTGAAGCTAGTGGAGCCAGACTGGCAGAATTGGCCTTGGAACTGCAGAAAACGTTATAGCAATAGGATACATCACTGCATGTTGCTTTCTCAAGGCTCCGTCTTTGCTAACCTCCCCCTCATCCTCTGTTGTAGCTGGGTCTAGTGTTGTGATAAAGCCTGTGGGTGAACTTTAAGGGTCAGAGAGAGTGAAGTAAAGTAGTTCCAAGGGAATCTCCAGCCAAAGGTCTATGGCAGCTCTTTTCACACTGGAGCAATGCATGTCACATACCTCTCCCTACCACACAGTCTCCCTCCAGTAGCTGCTTTCCCCACCTACACAGTGTGCTGTTGCCATTGCTTTCTCTTTCTTTTATCTAGCAGATTTTCATAGTAACAGTTGCTGTTTCCTCTGCATGTGACATTTTAATCCTGCCCTGGCAGTGAATGAAATTCCAGCAGTAGGCAGGCTGGAGGCACAGATCGTGAATGAAAATGAAATAACTTTTTAAAATAGAAAGAAGAAAAGTAGTGTAAAAAAATGAAGCTTGAATGAAATGCTATGGGTCAAAGGGTCAGAAGACAGCAGAGGAGAACTTGGGATTGTGGTTTGTGGGTACTTGACATTTGTCTGGGGACTCAAGAGTGACTGTAACCAAGAACTCTGATTACTTTTGTTCTTTTTGGGTCAGTTAGTCTCCTTTGGACTCTTAACCCTGATTGTCAGCATTCCTGCTGCATAGCATTGCTCATGATGGTCTTTTGAAGCTCTTTGCCAATGCATGCTGTCTTTCAAAGAGCTCCTACAAGGTGGACAGAACCTCCCCAAAGCCGCATCTGTGATACTGGCACTCAAACACTGCTCGTTGCTTTTGCCATCCCTTGTTCTTCAGTTAAGTCCACACTCAGGGGTCTTTCTATGTACTTTGCCTAAAGAAAAAGGATTCACTTGGTTCCACATGTGACTCAGAAACAAAAAACCTGGGCATGACAATGTCAGTGAATGATGTATTGCATAATCTGGGTATAAGGTGCTCTTCCTCCTTCTCTGCCTTAGCTTTCTGATATGGAATAAGAAGCTATTCAAGTATGAGCTTCTGTTGGAGAAAGCATGAAGTTTCATTCATTGACAGCTGTCTGGTGTGTAGGGATCTGAGATGCTGGAAAGCAGGAGAAAAATGCAAAGTGAATCCTTTTTCTGGAGTTGGTTTGAAGCAGTTCCTCAATAGGAACCTCTGAGCAAATCTTTTTCTGTGGCTGTCAAAAAGCTTCATATGTGTTAGGAAACAAGATCACAATCCCTGTCATTCTTCAGCTTTCTAGTGCCAGATTTTCACCTTTCACAAAGACAACTTTAATCTTTTGGTTTCTCTATCTTGGAAGCTTGTTCTCGAATCACAGAATCACAGAATGTCCGAGGTTGGAAGTGACCTCCGGAGATCATCTAGTCCAACCTCCCTGCTCAAGCAGGGTCCTCTAGAGCATATTGCCCAGGATCACGTCCAGGCCGGTTTTGGATATCTCCAGCGAAGGAGACTCCACTACCTCTCTGGGCAACCTGTCCCAGTGCTCTGTCACCCTCACAGTCAAGAAGGTTTTTCTCAGGTTCAGACGGAACTTCCTGTGGTTCAGTTTCTGCCCGTTGCCTCTTGTCCTGTTGCTGGGCACCACGGAGAAGGGTCTGGCTCCATCCTCTTGACACCCTCCCTTTAGATACTTGCAGACATTGATGAGATCGCCTCTCAGTCTTCTCTTCTCCAGGCTCAACAGGCCCTGCTCTCTCAGCCTTTCTTCATAGCAGAGATGCTCCAGTCCCCCTAGTCATCTTTGTAGCCCTCCGCTGCACTCTCTCCAGTAGTGCCATGTGCTCCCCAGTGCTTGTACCGGGCAGGCCAGAATTGGACACAGCACTCCAGATGTGGTCTCACCAGGGCTGAGCGGAGGGGGAGGATCACCTCCCTCGACCTGCTGGCCACACTCCGCCTAATGCACCCCAGGAGACCATTGGCCTTCTTGGCCACAAGGGCACACTGCTGGCTCACGCTCAACTTGTTGTCCACCAGCACTCCCAGGTCCTTCTCTGCAGAGCTGCTCTCCAGCAGGTCAGCCCCCCAACCTGCACTGCTGCATGGCGTTATTCCTCCCCAGGGGCAGGACCCTGCCCTTCCCTTTGTTGACCTTCATGAGGTTCCTCTCCGCCCAGCTCTCCAGCCTCTCCAGGTCCCTCTGAATGGCGGCACGGCCTTCTGGTGTGTCAGCCACTCCCCCCACTTTTGTATCATCAGCAAACTTGCTGAGGGTGCGCTCTGTGCCTTCCTCCAGGTCATTGATGAATACACTGAACGAGACTGGACCCAGGACTGACCCCTGCGGAACACTGCTAGCTACAGGCCTCCAACTAGACGCTGCACCATTCACCACAACCCTCTGAGCTCGGCCATCCAGCCAGTTCTCAATCCACCTTGCCGTCCACTGATTCAGCCCGCACTTCCTGAGCTTACCTAGGAGGATGTGATGGGAGGCAGTGTCCAAAGCCTTGCTGACGTCCAGGGAGACAACATCCACTGCTCTGCCCTCATCTCCCTAGCCAGTCATTCCATCAGGGAAGGCTATCAGATTGGTCAAGCAGGATTTCCCTTTGGTGAATCCATGCCGACTACTCCTGATCACCTTCTTGTCCTCCAGACACTTAGTCAGTGATGACCTCCAGGAGGAGCTGTTGCATCACCTTTCCCGGGATGGAGGTGAGGCTCACAGGCCTGGAGTTTCCTGGCTCCTCCTTCTTGCCCTTTTGGAAGACGGGGGTGACACTGGCTTTCTTCCAGTCCACAGGCTGCTGGAGAGGAAGGAGTTAACAAATTAAAAGTGAATAATGGGGAAAGGCTTGAGCTCATGCAGCTCTCAGTCACTCAGTCTCAGGCACCAGCTTTGTGCCTACAATAGAGCAATGCTGCCTGAAATCTGATGCCCAGCGGCACAGACCAGGTCCTCCAGTTCAGAGAAAAACACTTTCCAACTTTTCACCTTTTGGGGTGATGTACTGTGCCTCTACAGAGGCCTGAAGCATTTGGCATCACAATACATTTGACATGGGTAAGGAGTAGAAAGCAGGAAGGAAGAAGATGGGAATGCACTCTGCTGGGGATCTCATGTTTGTAGAGGAAACGATGGGTGTTACTGTTGGTGCTAGTGCCTCGTGAAGGTAGAACTGGCCTCATAGAATTGACTCTATCTATTCTATTTCATTTCTCAAGTGCAGGTGTACTCCTTCTTCACTGTGCAGCTTTGCAGAGCTATTGAACAGACTTTTTTTCCTCAGTTCTTTAATCATCCTATACGCATGTCATGCCCAAATCAAAGCACAGATCCCAAGTCAGGAACCTGGAAAAAGCCTGGGTAGATCTAACCTCTTTTTATGTTTGGTTATTCATTTCATCTCTTTCCTTATCTAACCTCCTTTTATGTTTGGTTATTCATTTCATCTCTTTCCTTTCCCTTTGCCCATCTCTTCCTCCACCTTTTTCTTGGATGTGTCCTTGCTTTTCAGTCATTTCTTCTCTCTGTTTTGCTGGGTTTAGACCAGTTTGGATTTTGCATTGCCACAGGTGCTCCCTGTAGATAGATACTCCTCCAAGGCTCATCAACTGTACCCATGCCTAGGCAGTGCTTGTAAACTCCACTGGCATCCAGCTGGAAAACGCAACCTTAACTGAAAGCTCAGTGTAGGTCTCTACCAGAGTTTGTGTAGAGCTAATAAGTCTCAGTAATACTCAATATTAGCGCTTCTTAAAGCTTTTCAGAGCTTCCAGATTGCAATTGTTCCTTGTACTCTGTCCTGGGCAAAAGGGCCCACTCAGTCTTTGGGCAAAGATGCTTGATAGCATCTTTTACAGTTATATCTGAACAGTTACAGTTAATAATCAGTTCCATCTGATTAGTGACTTACACTCTGGTTATGAAGTCCCATCAGGTGATCTTGTCAGAGGCCTGGCTTCTTCTCATTTGAATGCAGAGGCAATATTTTTCCAGTGGTAATCATCAGCTATCGGGTTGCATTTCTTCAGGAAGGAAGCAGCAGTTCATGTTGCTCCCAAGACAATTTGTTTTGTGATCCTGATTATAATGAACCTTTCTCTTTTTCCAGCCCAGCTGAATCTTACATGCAGCTCTTTGTTCTCCTCAGCTATTCTGGTAACCTTGTCTATAAGTAGCTTGCACAAAGAGTAACGGGTGCAGGCTTTGGGACTCAGAGCACTGCTCTTAAGCCTACTCAAGTTGTGTTTAAACTATTTTGATCTTAAAACAAATAGAAAAAAGAGGGGAGAAAAGTAAGCTAAACATGTGCCTGGATTCTCTGCTTGCCCTGGGACAGTTGTCAGGACATTGGTCTAGGCCATACCTAGTATATGCCTCTCCGAAAAGCGGATGTTGACTGAGAATGGGAATACTAAAAGTATCATGATGCCCCATGATGTGGTCTGGAAACTGCTGTTTGGATCTTCAACACAAATGTCGTGAGCGGCAGTGCAGGGACCTTAGATGGTCCTTTTGGGGGTGAGAGCCACAAGATCCCTGTATGTCCAGTAGTACACATCAAACCCCCACATTCAGTACTGTCAAGCTGTAGTACCTCCATTGCAGACACCAGATTTGCTCCCAAAAATGCCTGCTTCAGTCTATTACATGCTTTAAGGTGGGAGAGCAGCTTTTTTTTTCCTATCCTTTGGCTTCCAATATCCCTGCCAGAGGGAAGTCCTAAGAATTAAATATGTCTTTTAATGCACAGCAGAGTTTCAGGTTAACATATGGCTGAGAAGCCTAGACATGGAGCTTCCATCTTGGGGTGTGGGGTAGTAATGAGCTGGCTCTATGCTTCCTTCATTGGGTCTATGCAGCAGAGCCTGGGTGCAGGGGGCAACTGGTCATGGGAAGGGGCCCAGGAGGCTGCAAGGTCAAAGTGTGTGGATAGCAGCCTTGTGCAGTGATTAGATCCAGGCAGGAAGGGGTCTAGAGGGCTAGGAAGAAGCGATGGAGACACAGAGACAGGCTATGGTTGGGAAGGGACATTGAATGGAGGGCATCAGAGGGGAGAAGGGCATCTCTGCAGTACCTCAGTGTAGGTAGAAGAACTGCTCTGGCCAAAGTTACACCCAAATTTTGGCTGAGGACCAAGGTTGTGATATGCTGGGACAGGAATGGCCCAGCTGCCCCTAGGTAGGCATCACTGCAGCTTAAGGGGGAGGAACAGCACTTTGCAGTTGTGCAAATGACTATGCAAAGCCCCTGACAACATGGAAATGTGATCTGGGCCTTTGGCTGGGAAGGGATGCCATTGTCCAGAGGGGCTGGCAGACCTCTGGGTGCTAAGAGATGTCCTGCTCCAACCTTGGCTCCAGGTGACCCAGGCTGCCACTTGCAAAGTGATGGTGGTGAAGATCTACAAGAATGACGTGGACCAGGAGGTGATTGTGCGTGAAATCAGCCTGCTGCAGAAGCTGTCCCACCCCAATATCGTCAGGTAGGCTCATCCTCTGGCTCTGAGTGGTGGGGACTAGCAGGGGCTGGAGTGTGGCTCGGTGTCTCTAAGGCAGTTCTGTGATGAGGGATTGAACTGAATCCTAATGGCTTGGTTTTTTTGGTGTGTCCTTCTGCCTTAGGTACCTTGGGATATGCGTGAAGGATGACAAGCTGTACCCCATTCTGGAGGTAAAGGTTTCTGCTTGTAAGTGTGCTGTGGGCAGGCAAGGACCCTGCAGTTTTTTGGCAGGGAGGATGGCAAATAACCTGTAACGTGCATCTGGGCCTCTCTGACAGCTTGGCCTGTAAATGACTCTGAGCTAGCAAGATTTCTTGATGCTTTTAGAGGCTTTTCGTCCTCTCCCCTCCGTTGCTGCTCGCAGCTGGAGTGAGGCACGGTTGCTGCAGGGCGAAAAGATTCAGGCATAATAGCCAAGAGGTGTTTCAGGTTCACCTAGTGCCACTAGAGGGCCAGAATGGGCTAGCCAGGGAGTGAGTAGAGGAACCAGGAGATGGAAGGGATGGAGTAGAAAACAAAGCAGATGCAGACTGGCAGGGCTTCCAAGGTGGCTCTGCCATGGTGGTGTGGCCTAATGTAAAAGCCTAAGCTGGTGCTGGAGAGACCTTGCCTTGTTGTCTATACTGTTAGTGGCTTGCAGCCCTTGACTAAGTCACTGCAAGTCTTTTTGCCTCTGATTCACTGCCTGTAAGTGAGGACTGTGGTAGTGAGCCCCTTGGCACAGCACTCTTGGACACAGTGGGAAGTATGGTATGAGAGTAGTGTTAGCATTTCACTGAAGGACAGAGGAGACTGCTGCTAAATGACTGGGAACAAGGGCAGAGGACCACTGGATGTGAAGAGTGATAGTGATGTGCAGAGGTGGAGCACTACACGGCACTGCTAGACTCCAGACAGACACCCAGGAAGGGGCTGCAGCAGTTGCCTTCAGGTCCTGTATGAGAGCACAGCATAGCACAGGTCTTGCTGCAGGTGCAGAAAGCTGTCCTCTAAGGGGTTAATTTGCTGCTGCAGTGCCATGCTGGCTTATATCCATGTAGTGGGGCAGGGCCCAGAGAGCTGCTGCGACTCACCGTGTCTGGAGGGGTACTTGCACTGCACCAAGCATAGGGATGCCCTGATCTTAGTTAGGGTGTCTGTGTGCTAGGGTACTTTAAACCTCCATCCCAAAAGAGGACTTCCCAAGTCTGGTGAGTGATTATTTAACACCCAGGCTCCAGGAGTGCCTGTGCCCAGCTCCAGAGCCTCCCATTTTTTGTCTCTGTTCACAGTATGTGAATGGGGGGTGCCTGGAGGAGCTCCTGGCCAGCAAAGACGTTGCTTTGACCTGGAAGGAGAAAGTGGACTTAGCTTCTGACATCACCAGAGGCATGATCTACCTGCACTCCAAGAACATCTACCACCGGGATCTCAACTCCAAGGTACACAGCTGGAAAGGGGATGTTACCCTGAGCTGCTGAAGACAGGCTGAGTCAGGGGACCTTACAGCACCATTTAGGGAGTTCGGGCTGTAACCAGTAGGCCTCAGGCCTTGTGCTCGTCCTCTGCTTCATGTTAGCCTGGCAGGGAAGCTTGATAAAGCCTTTAATTACAGTGCATTCATCACTTGCCAAACAGGAAACCCAGACAGAGAAAAAATATATTCCTCCTAGTGTGGTTGCTATTAGAAAAGGAACTAAGTGGAAATGTGTGCAGGAGTGAGCATGGTTTTCTCTGCCTGCAGTTGCAAGAGAAGCTCTGCCCAATCTACAGTTTTCTTTTCCTTCTTGCAGTAAGGAGGACGCTGCTGTTAATAGAAAAGTAATGGGCTCTGTGAGCAAATGTTGTGTGGGATGGTGCTCTCTCTGCATTCAGAGTGACAGTGGAGCTCTGGAGACAAGTGTCTTCTAGCTCACGTGGCGGGAGGTTGCACTTCCTATATTCTTAGGATTCGCGTCCCTAATTATAGCTTAGTGACCTCCTCAGCAGTTTCACACTCTATCAGCATGTGAGCAGTGAAGACTAGTGTCTGAAGACAGACCAGTGGCTTTGTGTGTATGCAGGGGCACATTATGTTTCTAGTGTATTGACCCTCTGGCTGGAAGGTCTGCTTTCCTCAACCTGGGCATGTGGTACTTGGATGGGGGCAGAAGTAGTGCTGAGGCTTTGCCACTTTCAGGTGTGTCTGCAGGGACAGTCTTTGATGTGGCTGTTCCTCTCCCACTGATGCGACCCCTGGGAGACAGCGCTAACTACAGGCCTCCAACTAGACTTTGCACCACTGATCACAACCCTCTGCAAGTCGTTGCAGTTGATGCTGTGAGTAGTGGTGTATCTCTTACAGGCTGTTTCTGTCAGTGCTCTGTGAGCTTTTTAAAGGAAACTTGAAATATTTATGAAGCAGTGGTGAAGCCAGACGAGCGTTACAGTCTTGAGAGACATCAGCACAGGAAGCAAACCTGCCTTTTTAATCTCACAGCAGTTTGCTTGGCTCAGTTACTAACCATGAAATCATGAACACCAGGGGAAGGACTAGGTAATAGCCTGATTCATTCTGATCGCAAGTTTCTTGGCCAGTGTGCTCTGAAGACAATTGAAATGTAATTTCCTATTTGATAATAACTGATGAACCCAGGAGCTTTCCAGATCTGCTTGTGGAAAGTTAATGAGTGTCTGAGGTCACTGCCTGTCCATTCTGCCTCGCAGCAGTGCTTGAGCCCTGGAAAAGTTTTGTCCTTTCCTGGGAATCCTAGGCTTTCATGCAGTGATGGTATCTAAAGATAATGAGAAGGATGAGTATACGTGTTCATGAGCCATCTGGAGAAGATCTTTGTTGCTTGTGTTGGCTCTCTCAGAGGAGATGCTGAGGAAGAAACCCTGGAGAACTGAACAGGCTGAAACCACTAGTGTTTTTAAGAAACCTTGAGAGAATTCTGTAGAAATTGCTCCAGAAAGACAACAACCAGCATACAACTGAAGAGAAAACCATCTATATGGGTTGTTTGGTAGGAACTGATTTGTCTAGAGACTGTACAACCTGAGCTGTAATGAATATATTCTCTTTTTGAGTCTGTACTATGGCACAAAACCCTACCTGACAGTCTAGCTTTGCTTGGGACTCTGCAGGACTGTGCTGCAGTGAGGATGGAGAAACAGTGCTCGGGACCTTGTACTAACAAACAAAGAAGGTCTAGTTGGAGAGGTGAAGGTTGGGGGCAGCCTTGGCTGCAGTGGCCATGACATGGTTGAGTTCAGAATCCTACGAGGAGGGAGCAAGGCAATGAGTAGGATTGCAACGCTGGACTTGAGGAGAGCTAACTTTGGCCTCTTGAGGGACCTACTTAGGGGAATCTCATGGGGTAGGGCCCTAGAAGGAAGAAGGGTCCAAGAAAGCTGGTTAATCTTCAAGCATCACCTCCTCCAGGCTCAAGATCGGTGCATCCCTCTGAGGAAGAAGTCGAGCAAAGCGGGCAGGAGACCTGCCTGGATGAGCAAGGAACTCCTGGCCAAACTCCAACAGAAGGAGGAAGTACACAGAATGTGGAAAAGGGGACAGGCCACTTGGGAGGAATACAGGGACGTTGTCAGAGTGTGCAGGGATGCGACAAGGAAGGCTAAGGCCCAGCTGGAATTAAATCTGGCAAGGGATGTCAAGGACAACAAGAAGGGCTTCTTCAAATGCATCAATAGCAAAAGGAAGACGAGGGAAAACGTGGGCCCGCTGCTGAATGGGGCGGGTGCCCTGGTAACGAAGGATATAGAGAAGGCAGAGTTGCTGAATGCCGCCTTTGCTTCAGTCTTCACTGCTAAGGCGAGTCCTCAGGAATTCCAGACCCTGGAGACAAGACAGAAAGTCTGGGGAAAGGAAGACTCTCCCTTGGTGGAGGAGGATCAGGTTTGAGATCATTTGTCCAAACCTGACATCCATAAATCCATGGGCCCCGATGGGATGCACCCACGAGAGCTGAGGGAGCTGGCGGATGGTATTGCTAGGCCACTCTCCATCATCTTGGAAAGGTCCTGGAGATCAGGAGAGGTGCCTGAGGACTGGAAGAAAGCCAGTGTCACCCCCGTCTTCCAAAAGGGCAAGAAGGAGGAGCCAGGAAACTCCAGGCCTGTGAGCCTCACCTCCATCCCGGGAAAGGTGATGCAACAGCTCCTCCTGGAGGTCATCACTGACTAAGTGTCTGGAGGACAAGAAGGTGATCAGGAGTAGTCGGCATGGATTCACCAAAGGGAAATCATGCTTGACCAATCTGATAGCCTTCCCTGATGGAATGACTGGCTAGGGAGATGAGGGCAGAGCAGTGGATGTTGTCTCCCTGGACGTCAGCAAGGCTTTGGACACTGCCTCCCATCACATCCTCCTAGGTAAGCTCAGGAAGTGCGGGCTGAATCAGTGGACGGCAAGGTGGATTGAGAACTGGCTGGATGGCCGAGCTCAGAGGGTTGTGGTGAATGGTGCAGCGTCTAGTTGGAGGCCTGTAGCTAGCAGTGTTCCGCAGGGGTCAGTCCTGGGTCCAGTCTCGTTCAGTGTATTCATCAATGACCTGGAGGAAGGCACAGAGCGCACCCTCAGCAAGTTTGCTGATGATACAAAAGTGGGGGGAGTGGCTGACACACCAGAAGGCCGTGCCGCCATTCAGAGGGACCTGGAGAGGCTGGAGAGCTGGGCGGAGAGGAACCTCATGAAGGTCAACAAAGGGAAGGGCAGGGTCCTGCCCCTGGGGAGGAATAACGCCATGCAGCAGTGCAGGTTGGGGGGCTGACCTGCTGGAGAGCAGCTCTGCAGAGAAGGACCTGGGAGTGCTGGTGGACAACAAGTTGAGCGTGAGCCAGCAGTGTGCCCTTGTGGCCAAGAAGGCCAATGGTCTCCTGGGGTGCATTAGGCGGAGTGTGGCCAGCAGGTCGAGGGAGGTGATCCTCCCCCTCCGCTCAGCCCTGGTGAGACCACATCTGGAGTGCTGTGTCCAATTCTGGCCTGCCCGGTACAAGCACTGGGGAGCACATGGCACTACTGGAGAGAGTGCAGCGGAGGGCTACAAAGATGACTAGGGGGACTGGAGCATCTCTGCTATGAAGAAAGGCTGAGAGAGCAGGGCCTGTTGAGCCTGGAGAAGAGAAGACTGAGAGGCGATCTCATCAATGTCTGCAAGTATCTAAAGGGAGGGTGTCAAGAGGATGGAGCCAGACCCTTCTCCGTGGTGCCCAGCAACAGGACAAGAGGCAACGGGCAGAAACTGAACCACAGGAAGTTCCGTCTGAACCTGAGAAAAACCTTCTTGACTGTGAGGGTGACAGAGCACTGGGACAGGTTGCCCAGAGAGGTAGTGGAGTCTCCTTCGCTGGAGATATCCAAAACCCGCCTGGACGTGATCCTGGGCAATATGCTCTAGAGGACCCTGCTTGAGCAGGGAGGTTGGACTAGATGATCTCCGGAGGTCCGTTCCAATCTAAACCATTCTGTGATTCTGTGACCTAGAAAGGTCACAGCTAGTGTGTTAGGGACATATCCTGGTCAGTAAGAAAGATTGTGGCTGTAATCCTACACACCTTTGACTGAGCAGTGAGCAAGGCTAAAGCACAGATAAAAGGATAATCATGTCCCTGCCAGACAACTTTGCAAATTTAAGTCTAGGTTTTTTAGGACCAAGGAGCAGTGCTGAGTCCTTGAGGCTTGTATCAGGCAGTCGGAGGCGCTGTGGTGGTGAGTGGGCAGAGGTCTCCCTGTAATGAGGGCTTCCGCCAGAGCCCAGGTATGGGGATGGACAGTGAACCAAAAAGCCTTCCACAGACATGGGCTGAGGAACAGTTCATTCAAAGGACTCTTTTTTAGGCATCAAATCTCTCCAGATGTGGTCAGTGCAGGTCTAGCATCCTCCCCATGCTCGTCAGCGTCTGCTACCAGGGTGATGGTATCTGATAGGGAGATAGCCTGTAACGGTGAGGTGGGGCTGAGCAGTGGTGAGGTGCCATTCAGTAAAATGGCCAGGCTCTTCCTTGCCTGGGCATCTCATGCTATGCCTCCATGGGCTCCTTCCAGAACTGCCTCGTCCGCGTGACCCCACGGGGCCATGAAGCCTTGGTGACTGACTTCGGGCTGGCCAGGGAGGTGGTGGAGCTGCCTGTGAAGGATGTGGAGAGGAAGTTGTCTCTGGTGGGCTCTGCTTTCTGGATGGCTCCTGAAATGCTGCGGGGGGAGCCGTATGACCGGAAGGTATGGTACTGCTTCCCAACTCCTTGTTCATCCTCAGAGCTCCTGAGCAGGCACAGGGAATGTCTCCTCTGCTCATTGGTGATATGTCCCAACAGCAGGAAAGCTCTTCCCTCCTTACCTGAGAAACTTTGTCCTTGTACCTGGACCTTTGCTCAGTAATGCTCTGTTTAGACTTGAAAGTTGCTTAATGTGGCTTTGCTAAGTTAAACTCTTAGAGGAGTGGATTCCTGCTTTGGACAAAGACAGTGAAGTGTCTCCAAGGAAGATGGTTGAGTAGCTACAGCCCAATTAAACTATTGCGGGCTATTTCTGGGGGTGCCAGAGCTATGATAGAAGTGCCAGCCATGTTCAACAAGGGCATGGGACCACATTTCCCAAAGAAGGGGCTGGGACCCAAGTTGGGTTGTAGTGTTTCTGGATGGGTTCAGAAACCCAGTAGAAGTTCAGCTGTGGAAGAGGGGTTTGCTACCTCCATCTCCAATAGACCTTTCGTGGGCTTTTGTATGACTAATGTGAGGACCATGTCATTGGTACTCTCTTTTCTGATGCTTTACTTCTGTGCATGCCTAATCCCGCTTCTCTCTCTCCCATCCCTCCTGCAGGTGGATGTCTTCTCCTTTGGCATTGTCCTTTGTGAAATCCTGGGCAGGATACCAGCTGACCCTGAAGTGCTTCCCAGGACTCAGGTAAGGATTTTTGGAGCCAAATTTAATGACATTTTCTCCATGGTACCAGACTGTAGCTTCTCTCTGGACAGTATGGGCTTGAATCCAGGACAGTCAAGTGATGTAATGCTGCGTGTGTATGTGTACATATATACACATGTGTGTGCTCTGGTTTCTCTCTAGAGGTTTTTTTTTTTGTAAGAAAATCTGATTTAGTCAAAATTTTTAGTAGGCAAGAGTGATCATTTACAGTTTCAGTCCTTTTGTTACATCAACCATTTGAGATCAAACACTTTTGTTTAAAAACCTTAATACCAAATACTTCATTTGACTTTGACATTTCAGCTTTTACATTGAAGTGGTAGGTTAAATACAACTTTCATGACAAACCTATATTTTGAAATGAGCTATGTTGGGGTTAATAGGTAGTTCATGTGGAAACAGTGGGCTTCCCTAGAAAACATGGCCTTTTCAATTTCAACATTTGGAACATTTCCCTCCCACAAAGTGTTATGCTCCTTTATTTTTGTCCTGAACAGAGGTGAAAAATCCAGCAGAAAAATAGCAAATTGCTTGCTTTCCAAACAACCTTGTAGGAACAAAACAAAGAATTTGCAGTGACCAGAGATTATTCCATGTTTCTGTGAGATTAAACAGGAACTAACACTCCATCTGTGTTCTCAAGATGAAGGAGAATTAGGTATCAGAGACTCTGAAGCCTCATCGGGTGAAGCTGTAGTTATGGAAACAACTGGCCCTATCCTGTGAATTCTCAGTTCTTGTTGGAAGACCAGATTACCTTCAGTTCTTGTTCTTGGCAGACAGTGCTCAGCACCTTACCTAGTGCTGGTTCCTCTACATGCTGTTTTCCACCTCTGTGGCCTTTGTTGCCTTAGTATCTGAGCTTTTCCAGGATGACACATACAGCCCAGTGGGGAGAGCACAGAGCAAGCAGAAGGGTGCTGTAACTTCTCCCAGTCCTGCTAATGACTTACTATCTGTGCGCTCCCGGCAGGGCTAATGTTCCCCCAGGTACCTTTGCATAGCGATCAGTAAAGTGGCTGTGATAGAGAACCTAAAAGCTTTAATCCATGAGCATTTATGTGCTTTGACAACTTGAGAAGGGCAAAACGCTTTTGAGGAAGTTTATAGCTGAGTCTCCTCTACACCTTTTCCTTGCTTCTTACAGTAAAACCCCTTTTCCCTAGCGGTTTTGAGTAAAAGGATGGCATTTGCAGCTAAGAGGAGAATAAAACCCAGGAAAGGTCCGTCTTGCTAAGCAAATGAAGTGTGGGACACATTCTGAGCAACAGAGAGGTTTGGGGCTTCAGCAACCTACTTCTCCCCTTCTCCTGGGGAAGCTCCAGACCTGACCCCATAGAGTCGTGACCAGTTCCCCTCTGCCAGGCCGGTTACTGACCCATGCTCTCCCCATTCCCCATAGGATTATGGCTTGGATGTTGTTGCCTTCCAAGGGATGATCAGCGAATGCCCCAAGCAAGTGATGGACCTTGCTGCTTGCTGCTGTCGGGTAAGATTCCTGCTAATTTTTTTGCTCTGGGTTTATTGGGTTTGTATCACATGTGTATAATAGAGTGAAAAATTCTTGTGACCACCCCCACCCCGCAAAGCCTGAACATGCTCCTCTCAGTGGCAGCACACAGGGCTCTACCACCTGAGCTATGAAGTGATGAGACCTTCCTGGAGCAGTACTATGCTTTTATCCATTGTGTAGTTTAGCTGCTAGGAGAAGGTGTTTAGTTTGTGTATTATAGCTATACAGGAAAACAGAATTTAAGAGAACTGGGCGATGTGGCCCCAGATTTTGGATTAGCTCCTGACATTTCCTCTTTGCATTTCCCCAGAATGTCCCAAGGCCCTGAGTATCAACCCCAGGGTGGGAGTGTGGGCTGGTGCATGGTGTCCGATTCCTACATGGTCGGGCTGCAGGCAGGGGTGACCAGCTAACCCTCTCTGGAGGATGCCAGCTTGCTGTTAGCAGCCCTACTAATATCATCAGAGCATGTTTCTCCAACTTTTCTTGCTTTGACACAGAAGGTAATGGTAAAAGCTGGAAGGCCTCACCTCAGGGGGCAAAGCAGAGAGAAAGCAAGGAATCAAGTTAATCTCTTAAATGAAAAGAAAAACAAAGGCTGTTACTCCGGCAGAAAGTGGAGAAGCTGGGTGATTATAATGCAGCTTGTTGCTAAGTATTTGCGGCAGCAAATGGAAATCAATTCTAGCACTGATGCTAAGGACATATGAATAACTTAGACTGAATCAGAGGAGTGGCTGACATCAGGAACTGGCTTAGATTTATATGTATTCAGCTCTTGCATCTCTGAAAGGCAGTTTTCTAACACAAGTTGATCTAATAACTGGCTTCTGCCAGAAATGGCCCTCAGGTCTATTCTTTTCTGTGCTTGCACAGCATGTAGGTTTGAGGCGTTTTAAGCTCATATGGCTTCCTGGACTGCCTCCCTGTGGGTCAGGCAGATAGCATGGTAGGGACAAGGGAAGCCTCAGGAAGGCATGGTGGGAGCATGGGCTGGGGGGCCTATGGCTGTAGTGGTGAGGCCTGTACCACCAGGGCATGCCCCTCGACAGGCCTCGCCCATGCGGAAGGAGTTGATGGAGTCTCCTGCAGGATATGAGATCTGGTCTCTGCCGTAAGAGATGGCAGGGAGGGAGACTCTGGAATTCTCCGCAGTTCAAGAGGAAACGGGTTGAACCACCTCTTTGGAGACTCCAGCATTTCCTGATGGCACTGGGACATCTGGGACATCACAGCCCACAGAGAATGAACTGTATCTGGGAAACAAGACAGTTAGACCCTGACTATTGTGAAAAGGCTGGGGGAACAAGATATCTCCCTCCTGATGCCACCCTCCAGTCTTTCCCCCTCATAAACTCTGGCCCCATACATTTCAAATGGGCTTTGGGGTTTGACAGTTCCTACACCCTGTTGTGGGTGGTGGGAAGCATGCTGGCCTTGGGGTGTTGTGCTGTTTTTCAGCAACTCACTACAGGCTGCCTTTGCTTGCACTATCCCACAATGTGGGATCTGTCATACAGCTGCTCATTTGCAGCCACCCAGGCCTTGACCATCATGGAGCGATGCAAGAAGGCGCCTCTGCTGGCTATGTGGCTCAGGTCAGCATTAATGCCAGATGAGTACTGCTGTCCAGCCTTGAGGGACCCAGGAGAGCCACTGCACAACACCCACCTCCTGTGTGGGGGTGTCCTCTTCAGCTTCTCCCATCTTCTTCCAGGTGGAAGCATTTAAGAGGCCGTCCTTCTCCGAAATCCTGGATGAGCTGGAAGATGTCGCAGAGAGCCTGGAGCCTAGGAAGGACAATCAGCTTTCAGGCTGACCTGCTGGGCTCCTCTGAGGCCTGATGGAGTATTGCACAAATTGTAAATTAACTGTCTGAGGGGTCAGGAGTGAAAAAGGAAGATGGGGAGGGGAAGAGCTAAGTGATGTACTGGTATTTATTTAATCATAGTCTCAGTTTCTAATTTCTTGGATGGAAAACACAGTTAAAAATGGAGAAGGGACTTACGAAGGGTGTATTTTTCCTAGCTAAGGTTTTTAACAGATGTAATTTGGACACTGAACAGCTTTGTTTGCCTGTAAAAAAACAAATGATCCTGGAGGGCAGGCCAGGGACTTCAGGATGCTCTCCAGATCCCCGACAGAAATGTAGTTCTCTCCTTCTTCCCCTCCCCACCTGGTCCCAGGGACTTCCCCTTCTCTTACTCCTCCAGCCTTGAGGAATAGCCTCTCTGGAGGCTGGGGGTCAGTGCAGTGTGAAGGAGAGGGGCTCTGGGGTGCTCAGTGAGCCCTCAGAGTTGCCTTATAGTTTAAAGCCTTAAAACACCTGTCCAGTAGCCTTGCAGGGACAGATTTGTTCTGTAAAATCTCTGGTTGCGTGCCCTTCTGGATGGCGTCTCCTGGCACTGCATGCAGAGCATGGCCAGGTGCTGAGGTGACAGGTAAGGATATGGAGGTCCTGCTTGGCAGTTCATGGGATGCCGACCTGGGATGGGTCGAGGGATGGGAAGGGTGTGCCTTATCAAGATACAAACTAACAAATGAATATCTCTTCTCAGAAAAGCTTTGTCAGACATGTGTGTCATGTTAGAGCCATGTCCCAGCACAATGGCAGTCTGGATTTCTTCCCACTGACCTCACCTAGGTCTCAAAGATGGAGGGGTGTGCCTCCCCCCTCCTTGTCCTACTGCAAATACACAGTGACAAATACGGTGATGACAGATTGCAAGGCCAAGACAAGGGAGATCTAGGTCTGGCATCAGCTGTCTGTGCCTGCAAATAGGCAGGATAACACCAAACATCTCACATAGTTCTCTATTTGGCTCAACACCCCATGGCCTCTCTGGTGATGTATGACCCCCCTTATGGGCCCTAGCGCCAGAAGTCAGAAAAGGACTTTCTTTTGTTATCATATTTTCTTCTACAGGCTGGAGGAGGATACCAGGGCTGCAGATCCAAACCAGGGGTGGGAAAAATTGTGGCTAGAAATGCTCTTGCATTTCAAATTAAGAGAAAGAAGTGAGTGATCAAGTCCCAGCCTCCAGATCAGCTGCCTGCTGGGCTATGGTTCTGAAAAACTGGTGTTCTACTAGGACCAATTTTTTTGTGGGTGTAAGTAGGTGTAATGTCTGTACAGTGGTGGAGCTGTGGCTCTGTTCTTATGGACTGTAAGCTCTTGGAGCAAGGATCTTTCATCCATCCAAAAAGCGCTTTTACAGTGTTTAGCCCAATGGAGCCTGTATGGTGGTAAACCTACATGGAGGCCTCCTCTCATGCTCTTGAAGCCAGATGTGGTGTCCTATGGAGTCCAATGTCTCTGTGCCATGGTGCCTGTGTAAGGAAGTGTCGGCAGTGTGCTGGGATGGAGGCATTGTAGAAACATAGGTGGTGCAGAAGGACCAGAAGGAACTGGGAGCCAGCGTGAAATGCACTGGGCGGTGCCAGGATCATAAGCTCAGCCACATGTCTGGAGATCATCTGTTGCTCCTCATTCCCCAGAGCTGCTATCAAGCTTTTGTGGTGTGCTGATGTTTGTGCACAAGAAACCTCTCGCACAAAAGTAGAACTACCAGCAAATATCTTCATCCCAGCTGGATTCCTGTACTGCCAGCTGGCAGGAGCAAAGCCTCAAGGAGCAGAAGAGTGAAAATAAGAAAGTTTTTCAGTCTGGAGAAGGGAAGAGAGGCTACTTTTTGACTTGTGCCAGTTTGGGGGCTTCAGACCAGTGGGGTGAAATGGAGTACAATGGCAGGGAAAACAGCATTGATATACATGTGTGTCTTCAGTTAGAACCAGCCATGACCTGTGTCACAGTAGCGTATTGAAAGGAAATTACAGTGTGTATATTTGGCTACCAGAAGTAGAACTTGCAGAGCTAACTACAACCTCCCAAGACTCCCCAGGCTCCTTTGGGCTGAGTGAGAGGATGCTTTTCTTCCATAGTGGTATAGGCTCAAGAATGAGGAACCCAATGATATGTCCTAACACCTGAAGCATTAAGGATAGAAAACCTTTTCCAAAGGCTGTTGAAGTTAAAGAATTGCTGTCCATCTTGTATCAGACCCTCGCTAGGTGAATTGCCTTTACATAGACTTTCTCCAGCTTTCTCCATGCTGCCTAGTCTCCTTGGCTGGAGTCTACTCTTCCTCTGCTCCCCCTGCACAAGAATAGGATAAAGGAAGACAGATAACATACAGCTCCCTCAAATGGCACGTTGTAGGGTGAGGGTGTCTTGTCCAGGGGCTCTTCTGCAGGGCTCCTCCACTACCAGATGCCCCCTCTCCAGGACCAGGAAGACTTGGTGCTGGTGTCTGAGATGTGCGTCCTACCACAGGTCAGGCTAATCCTTTCTCCAGCATTGCCTGTAGACCTGGTCCTGTGGCGTAACAACTGTGGGGCTGAGACACAGTAGAAATGGCATGTGGTGTTATGGATATTCTGGTGAGGCTTTCGTATGAAGAAAGTTCTTTCAGCTTTATTTGTCCACCCAGGGGTAAGAAGCCTGATCCCACATTAAACAGGTCTGTGGAGATATTATTCTTCACACGGTGTACAGGGGATAGCATCTGTCAGTGTGGCCTGAGCTGTGACGGGATAGCCAGTCCTGCTGAGCTGGTCTGACAGAGGCTGATGCCAATCAAGGCCAAAAATGCTGCTTTCACTATAATTAGTAGTTATGTCAGTACTTTTGACTAAAGAGATCATGGGCCTGGGTGCTGCCTTGTCATTGGTCATACGATTAACATGTTGGTGCCTCCCTGGTATGGAGTTGACTCTGATTACGAGCACTGCCCCCAACTTTCTTGGTCATGGTATGAGAGCTATCATGAGCCACAACTGTTCCCGGTGGGAACAGTTCCCAGTGGGCTGCCAGGATGTGCAGGCTGGCCTGAAGAGAGAGAGGTTGGTGGTATACTACTAACTAAGCGTCTGGAGGACAAGAAGGTGATCAGGAGTAGTCGGCATGGATTCACCAAAGGGAAATCATGCTTGACCAATCTGATAGCCTTCCCTGATGGAATGACTGGCTAGGGAGATGAGGGCAGAGCAGTGGATGTTGTCTCCCTGGACGTCAGCAAGGCTTTGGACACTGCCTCCCATCACATCCTCCTAGGTAAGCTCAGGAAGTGCGGGCTGAATCAGTGGACGGCAAGGTGGATTGAGAACTGGCTGGATGGCCGAGCTCAGAGGGTTGTGGTGAATGGTGCAGCGTCTAGTTGGAGGCCTGTAGCTAGCAGTGTTCCGCAGGGGTCAGTCCTGGGTCCAGTCTCGTTCAGTGTATTCATCAATGACCTGGAGGAAGGCACAGAGCGCACCCTCAGCAAGTTTGCTGATGATACAAAAGTGGGGGGAGTGGCTGACACACCAGAAGGCCGTGCCGCCATTCAGAGGGACCTGGAGAGGCTGGAGAGCTGGGCGGAGAGGAACCTCATGAAGGTCAACAAAGGGAAGGGCAGGGTCCTGCCCCTGGGGAGGAATAACGCCATGCAGCAGTGCAGGTTGGGGGGCTGACCTGCTGGAGAGCAGCTCTGCAGAGAAGGACCTGGGAGTGCTGGTGGACAACAAGTTGAGCGTGAGCCAGCAGTGTGCCCTTGTGGCCAAGAAGGCCAATGGTCTCCTGGGGTGCATTAGGCGGAGTGTGGCCAGCAGGTCGAGGGAGGTGATCCTCCCCCTCCGCTCAGCCCTGGTGAGACCACATCTGGAGTGCTGTGTCCAATTCTGGCCTGCCCGGTACAAGCACTGGGGAGCACATGGCACTACTGGAGAGAGTGCAGCGGAGGGCTACAAAGATGACTAGGGGGACTGGAGCATCTCTGCTATGAAGAAAGGCTGAGAGAGCAGGGCCTGTTGAGCCTGGAGAAGAGAAGACTGAGAGGCGATCTCATCAATGTCTGCAAGTATCTAAAGGGAGGGTGTCAAGAGGATGGAGCCAGACCCTTCTCCGTGGTGCCCAGCAACAGGACAAGAGGCAACGGGCAGAAACTGAACCACAGGAAGTTCCGTCTGAACCTGAGAAAAACCTTCTTGACTGTGAGGGTGACAGAGCACTGGGACAGGTTGCCCAGAGAGGTAGTGGAGTCTCCTTCGCTGGAGATATCCAAAACCGGCCTGGACGCGATCCTGGGCAATATGCTCTAGAGGACCCTGCTTGAGCAGGGAGGTTGGACTAGATGATCTCCGGAGGTCTCTCCCAACTTTGATCATTCTGTGATTCTGTGATTCTGTATAGACACAGCAAGGCTGGACCATGTAGCCCCAAGGCCAAACTACAGGCCTTGTTCAGTCTCCCGGTATAGTGGCTGGTGGGACTAAGTCCATGTGACAACTTAAGAGCAGCTACAAGGCTGGACTTGGAGCTGTGTTTCTTTGGGGCATCTCCTGTGTCCCATCTGCTCCCATGGTGAGGCTACATGCTGGATCTCATGTGACAGAAAGGCCCCAGGTCCTTGCAAGAAGGACCTTTGGTGTCCACTGCAGGCACACCTGGGACTGAGGTACAGAGACTGAGACTGCAAGCACCTTGTGGACTAGTGGAGCTAATATTGGGAGCTCACAGAGAACAGAAGTGCTTTGGGAATTTGGCTGGTGCATGTAGTGGAGCAAGGGTTTCTACTCCACCGTTCAGAGCTGGAGGAAGAGATGAGCACAGGCAACCCACTGAGATCCCTTTTAGCTGTGAGCTCCCTTGCTGGGACCCCTCTCTACAGGAAGCAGGGCCAGGTTTCCCCACACCAGTCTGGCACAAAGTCCAGGTCAGTAGCTGAATTTAATGTCTCAGAGTCCTGGCTCTGAACTGAAGCAACTGCGATGGAGGATGGAGAGTCTGGGTGGCATAGCAGGCTCAACTTCACCGGATCTGAGCAGGAGCTTCTTCTCTCACTCTCTTCTCTGCTGGCTGTTCTGCTCTGCAGATGCTGACAGCATGGAGCAGGCCATGCTGTGCCCCATGGGCCCATGCATTTCCATGCCCTGCCATGTGTCTTTGTTAGTTTTTTTAAAATGCCATTTGGGAATAAAGTTTAGTGGTTCTTTCCCACATCAGTCCTGGGCTGCTGCCTGTGTTTCGTCATCCTATGTCTGCTGAATGGTGCCACTGAAATGCTGTGTTTTCAAGCAGAGACACCGAAGACATCTAAATGAACATCTTCATGCTCCATTTCAGTGTAATTCACATTATAAACCTTTAGTTAAAAGACATTTACAGAAGAGTATTAACTGTGAGAGAGTGGTATTCTGAGCCTGTTGCCCCCCTACACCCTTGGTTTGTGGCAGGGTCAGCCAGCTTCTTAAATCACACCTTTCACTTCGGTTAGAGTGGCACGGGATAACAGCAGCAATGCAAGCCCAGTATAGAGAGAGTTAGATTCACCTATTCTATCTGAGCAACCCATGGTAATCCCTCAGGACTCAGCCACAGTGCAATGATTTCCCTTCCCCAGCTGCAGTTTGTTTGATGCTCTCTGACTCATGTGTCATTAATTGCTCTTCAGATGCTGCCCACTCACAAAAACACCTCAGAAAATCAGAGGAAGCTGTGTTCATTCTGGCAGAAGGTTGCACACCATTGGGTCTGCTGCATCCAAATGAAAATCATATGGAGGTGCTGAAGCCCCGTTTTCTTAGCCCCTCACATCAGAAATCATTTGTGTTATGAGGAAGGATACTTTTCCTTCCAAAGTCCAGTCCCTTGAAATCAATCTGCTTTCAGAGTTGCAGCTATGAAACCTTTGGGCATTTGCACATGGTAGAACTGCTGAGTTCCTCCCTGCAAAGAGTTTCTATGCAGCACTTGGAGATGGGGGACTGACAGTCTTCCCATAGGTGGGTTTAGCCTGCTGTGTCTTCCCAGCATGGTGTTTGTATGTGTAAGCAGGGTGCACCAGAGGCAGAAGCATGGCCCATAAGCATATTGCACAGTGCTGTATTTGCGCTTTCCACAGTGTGATAATTTGGGCATCCACAAGGTCTTTGGATCAGAGCTGAGCAGCAGAAAATATAGGCAGCATATGAAACCACCTTGCTGTTGGACACTCCTGGCTTATAGGCTTGTCCTCTCAGAAGATCTCATGTAGGCAGAGGGTGCTGACAAGGGGAGACTGCCCAAATAACTCTGGGGGGGGTGCTAAATGGGAACAGATTCAGCTGAGCTTCTAGCTGCTTTCGTTCTACAGTGGCAGCTTGTCAGGAGTGGCTGTGGGAACCCACAGGCATTAGGAGCCCTAGTACCCAAGCACAAAGGCTAGTCTTACTACATCTAGACCAGCAGGCCTTTTGGTCCTGAATGGTCCTCCTGAGGGTGCCTGCTACTCATGCATGGTGGCATGTAGTATGTAGTGGCATGCCATAAGAGGGTGAAACCCATCCCTGCTCCCCTGCATGCTGCCTCCAGTGCTGAGGAACAGGTTGGCACCCCAGGCCCTCATGTCCTGCCCAGTTTGGTGTTTATTGGGGATGCACCCTGAAAAAAGTCAGCCTGAAGCCCACCCCCTCCAGGCCTCAGGCACAGCCCCATAGTGCACAAAGCACAAGGACATGCAGCAGAAAGGTGGAGTCGTTTCTGTGGAGAGAGTGCAGCAGGTTTGAAGGGCAAAGGTTTGAAGGGTGGACTTGGAGGCTAGTTTGTTCCTCGGACACATAGAGAGCCCTGGTAGGGGCAGATAGGCAGGCCAAAGCTGGGAGATCCAGCCTTCCTGAGAAAGTGAAGGATGGTTCCCAGATAAGTGTATTTCTCTTGGGATAGGAGCAAGGAGCAGGCACTCTCAGTTGATGATCTTTGCTGCCAGGAGCAGATCCTCTGCTTGGGAATGTGTTCACCAGTATGACAGCTTGGGTGCAAATTAAATTGCCTGGGGAGAAAACCCACTAGTGCCCCACCTCATACTGCACAGAGGGAAACCAAGGCAAGGTGACACTGCCAGGCTGGACCAAGCAGGGAGCATATGGGGAGAAGGCCATGCTCTGACTGAGACAGATGGCTATCCTGTCTGTTTTGCTTCAAGATGCAGAATAGATAGGGCCTGCAGCCAGGCTCCATGGTACCCTCTCAAGTGCCAACAGGCCTGTAAGGCAGGAAAGGGATCTCTGCCTTTCTGCCAAGGCCCCTGCAGAAGGCCATATCCTTGGAGTACAAGGTGGAGGGGTGGGGGGGCACATTCCATTGTTACAGGCTTCTCTGTGTACTTTAGATGACTGAGGTGCACCTGGTAAGTGACAGGAGGAGCACAGCAGGGCAGGGCCATCCAGGGCAACTGATAGATGAGGGCTCATCCTTCCTCTGGAAGAAGCATGGAGCAGGCTGTGAAGATGAGAACTCGCTCTCTGCAGTGCCTGTGGCATGCCAGTGTGCTTCTACTGGAAGTGGCTGCTGCACTGGACCCTACGACCTCTCAGATAACCTCACTCCACCCCCATGCTGAGCTGGAGAACTGGGTCCTACTTCACTGTGCTCACACAAGCAATCAGGTAGTGTTTTCTGCCTGGATTAGTTATCCGGGGTAGCCACCATCCTGTTGCCTGAATGATGGAACCAACACAGGAGAAGGTGGTGCTAGGGTGGGAATGCACATAAGGACACATAGGAAGGAGGGCTGTGATGCTGATGCCAAAAAATAGAAGTGATCAGGCAAGGCAGCTCTCATCTGCTGCTTTGTCTTTGTGCCAAAGACACGGCACAAAGCATCTGAACTGCTATGGCTAAATGACTTTTGAACCCTGGACCAGGTGGTATGCAGGGAGTACAGTAGTGATGGCTACTGCTCAACAACTTGCTGGATCAGGCACTATCCAATCTAGAGTGATGCTTTTAGCATGTCTCCCCTGGACCTGTCAGTGCCCAACCCAGAGGGCTTCTGCTGCAAACTCTTCAGATCTGAGCCAGCAGAGGTATTTATTTAATGGTCTACTGAGTCCTTGAACACTGGGCCTTGCAGCCACTGCCAAAGGAACAAATAGATGAGGAGGGAGACCATGATACATTGCAGTGCTAGGTAGAAAAGCTTGACTACTCTGGGTGTTGCATCTTACAGATGGATCAGGGGTGATGGCCCTAACATGCACAGACCCTATCTGACACTGGAAGGGCGATAGCAAATGAGCCCAGTGAGCACACGGGAATAAAACCAGCAGCACTTGCTTGCTCACGTTCAGGAGTCCTTGGTTTTTTGTGACTGCGTGGTGTGAAGAGCTCATCTGATCTCACTGGAGTCAGTGTACACGCTCTCTGTTTGTGCCTGCTGCTGACATGGTGTATGTGATGGAGCATCAGGATCAGAGAACCCTCCCTCTGTGCCTGTATCAGCATAGGGAGCCTTTGCCTGCCTTGCAGTAGCTGGGACTCATGCTGGAGGGGATGCAGTGCCCTCTCATGGCTCACTGTGACAGCTTATGGGCTGCGGGAGAATTTCACTCTTCAGCCATGTCTAAACCACTTCACTTAGGGCTGGCGATAGCTTGTCCCATGCCCCCAAAATACTTGAATATTTCCTCCATAAAGCCAAGCTGAGATCTGAGAATACTGACCAGATGGGCTTGGGCGGGTGGTTCTTGGTGTGCTCTTAATCTCTCTAACATGGGTATCCTTCAGGGACTAAGTTTAAATGCTAAAGCTTTCTGTATAGTAAGAGGGGAAGGTAGAACAGAGAAGAGAAAGGGTATTCGGTGCTTTCAGCTGTGTTAATGCAAAGGGTGTCAGCACTGGCTCTGACTAAGCTGAGGAGCCTGTGATTCAGCAGAGCAGCTTATGGAAGTGCTTTGGGCTTCTCTGAGAAGCTGATCTTGAATAACATCAGTGTCTGATCTGGTCAGACAGAGCCAGGTGCTGTGGGAGTGGGCTCTGGCTGTGAACATGTGAATCTGACTGGAGTAGGATTAAAACAAAACTGAACCCCTGAAAATGATGAAGTGAATATGGGAAATCCAGTCCAGCAAAGCGGGCAGGAGACCTGCCTGGATGAGCAAGGAACTCCTGGCCAAACTCCAACAGAAGGAGGAAGTACACAGAATGTGGAAAAGGGGACAGGCCACTTGGGAGGAATACAGGGACGTTGTCAGAGTGTGCAGGGATGCGACAAGGAAGGCTAAGGCCCAGCTGGAATTAAATCTGGCAAGGGATGTCAAGGACAACAAGAAGGGCTTCTTCAAATGCATCAATAGCAAAAGGAAGACGAGGGAAAACGTGGGCCCGCTGCTGAATGGGGCGGGTGCCCTGGTAACGAAGGATATAGAGAAGGCAGAGTTGCTGAATGCCGCCTTTGCTTCAGTCTTCACTGCTAAGGCGAGTCCTCAGGAATTCCAGACCCTGGAGACAAGACAGAAAGTCTGGGGAAAGGAAGACTCTCCCTTGGTGGAGGAGGATCAGGTTTGAGATCATTTGTCCAAACTTGACATCCATAAATCCATGGGCCCCGATGGGATGCATCCACGAGAGCTGAGGGAGCTGTGTCCAATTCTGGCCTGCCCGGTACAAGCACTGGGGAGCACATGGCACTACTGGAGAGAGTGCAGCGGAGGGCTACAAAGATGACTAGGGGGACTGGAGCATCTCTGCTATGAAGAAAGGCTGAGAGAGCAGGGCCTGTTGAGCCTGGAGAAGAGAAGACTGAGAGGTGATCTCATCAATGTCTGCAAGTATCTAAAGGGAGGGTGTCAAGAGGATGGAGCCAGACCCTTCTCCGTGGTGCCCAGCAACAGGACAAGAGGCAACGGGCAGAAACTGAACCACAGGAAGTTCCGTCTGAACCTGAGAAAAACCTTCTTGACTGTGAGGGTGACAGAGCACTGGGACAGGTTGCCCAGAGAGGTAGTGGAGTCTCCTTCGCTGGAGATATCCAAAACCGGCCTGGACGCGATCCTGGGCAATATGCTCTAGAGGACCCTGCTTGAGCAGGGAGGTTGGACTAGATGATCTCCGGAGGTCCCTTCCACCCTAGACCATTCTGTGATTCTGTGAAATGCACTATGTGCGTCTCTGCTCAAAGATGCACTTTCTCCTGTACCTAAAAAGGAGAAGTGAGCACAGACAGGACCTAGTGAATGTGGACATGCAAAACCTGGGCTTTATTTCTATGCATATCGTTGACCTGCTGTTCTGTGCTGAGTTCTGTCTTCCCTTCTCCCACCCACATGAGTTAGATTCAGTGTTGTTTGACTGGGGCTGCCTTGCTACATGTCCGTGCACTAACTATGTGATAGCAGTGGGCTCTCCTCCCCTGCGTAAGCTGTGGGGGAGGAATACAGGAGCAAGAAATACTCTTTTAACCAGTTCTACTAATAGTTAAATAACTAGCTTTCAATGAACTTCTTCCATACATCAGTGGAAAGCCCATCCTCAAATACTACTTTAAGGGAGCTGAAATGAACAATACTGGAACCTGCTGGCAATTCACATGTTGTCCACTTGTGTGAGGCTTGACTCAGTACCACACATACCACTGGACAATCTGTCTTGTATCCAGCTCTCAGTCCACAGAGGCTGAAGAATGAGATCTAGAAAACATATCCAGGATGAGTGATTGAAGCTGGACCTGGCTGCTGCCACGTTGCTGGTGGGAAGGTCTGGGCAATATTACTGTGCTTCCAGGACTTGAAGTCCTGGAGGACAAGTCATGTGAAGCAGTGAGGCAGGAGCAGTGCTGACAGCAATGTGCTGGAAGTTCAGTCCATTCCACAGCAGTCTATGTGGTAGCTTCACTGTGGCCTGTAAGAAGGGGGAGAGAATTCAGTCCCTTTCAGGTGGCTCTTTGGTCCAACAGAAAAAGGCTGCAGGAACACTTATGTCTTCACATATATGGATTAGAGATAAAAAATATAAGTATTTGCCAGCAAGGATAATACCATTTGAGAGCTTTACTGAGATGCAATAGCCTCACCTTCACTTGGTCTTCAAATCAAGGTAATGTACTTTTCAGAAAAATATGCCCAAGCTCAGTCAGCATCTGTGGGCCTGCTGGAGATGGTGAGGGTCCTGAGGGTCCTGGTGGGAAGCAGTGTTGGTGAACAATATGATGTGCAGCAAGGGGGACCAAATGGCAAAACTGGCATAAGCTGTATTTCTGCCAGAGCTGGCTGCTCTGTCCACTGGGGCTTACAGGAGCTCAAAGCAGTACCTGTCTCTTCTGGTCTCTGAAATCTACAGTCTGCTCTGGGCTGAAGGCACAACCTATCCTACTTTGTCCAGTTTTGCCCTAAAACAACTTTATCTCTCATTTTGTGTCTTCTGTTGGATGCCAAGTGGCAAGTATTGGTGCTAGTAGACATCCTCTTGCCCTGTTAAACTGGCCTGAATTTCATTTCTGTCCTCTTATGGGAGTAATGGTACTCTTTGCCTGTCTTCCAGTTTATGCCATCAGCATAGCTCCCATGAACGCCCAACCAGTACATCCCATTCAGGTTGGAGTAATGGCAGTCATTGTACCACCAGGCACCCTTGTAGGCTGTGGCACAGTTAAAGGAGCTCATGTCGTTGTCCTTGTCTGTTGTTGAAAATGGCATATCCTTGTGGTATGAGAAGGAGTCTCCTGCAGAGAGCACAAGTTCAAAGTTACTGCAATAGAGAGAGTACAAAAGGTAACCTAACACATCTGTGCAGCACTGAAGGGTGGCATCTGGGCCTTGCTGAATGCAAGGCAAGTTTTATAAAACCTTCTATTGTCTGGGTAGCCCAGATTTTCTCCTTGGTCCTGGGGAAGAGGAGCATCCTGAGCTCGGCTAACACATACACAGAACTTATCTATGTCTGTGGGTCAAATGGATCAGATTCTACTCTCTGTTACACAGGTGTCACTTCTCTTGTTCTGCACATGTTCTCTGCAGACCTACTAAGGTCTGGACTATCAGGCAGAGTTGCAGTCTGCAAACCCACATAAACCCATGGCATTGCCATCTCAGGTGTTGGCTGCACTCTTACTCTTGCATGAGGTGTGTTAAATTACGGAGTAGCTTTACTTATTTTTTAAAGAAAAATAAAATGTTTGGAGTTAGGAGGCTACAGTGCTGATGCTACAAGTGTACAACAGCCTACCCCTGGAAATGCCAGACCTCACTGGCAAATAGTTAGTCCTTCAAATGTAACCAAAACCAGAACTTGGCCTAGCTGCTGCAGAGCTGTGAGTACGGTGTGCTGGACATGGCGCTGCATAGGGCCAGACTCTGCCTTTGCTGATATAGCATGTGACTGGGCTTGCAGGTACTACTGTGATTCATAGTTCTCTGGTAACGGGTGTCCCTTCCTACCTTGCACCTAACGGTCACTCTGCATCTTGGGCACAATGTTCAGTTTAAAAAAATTGACCCAAAATCTGCATTGTGCAAAAAGTCTGTATGACAGAGCTTTGTATCCGGAGAGGACTGTAAATGCTGAATGCTTCTGATTTCCTCCCTAGAAAATAGCCTTTACCAGTCAATTGCTAACTTACCAGCATTTCCACCAAGGTAGTCTCCTAGAACCAGTTTGTATTTCTCAGACTCTCCTAAAACTCTAAATGAAGCATACTTGGCAAAATAGTAGTTGTTTTCAAAGTCCCTCAGGTCAATTCGAAGTTCACAGGTTTCTAGAAGAGAAAGGGAACAGAGATTTTGCTAGGCTGACAGCATCATGCAAACATCGTGAAGACATGCAGCTCAGGGTCATCCCTTAGCAAGGATTTTTGCATCATGAGGTATGGAACTGGAATTCAGGGGTTAGTGATTTAAGGAGCCATGAGCCAATTTGGGAGGACCTACTGGTACTTGAGAAATTATGATTTACTTCAAATTCCTGCAGAACCTGCTATAGCCTCAATGTTTTTTTCCCAGTGAAAGACCTTTCTATGATTCTACATTTGCTATAATCCTGGGCATTGAGAACTATATGCCCGAGAGTCCTACACACAACTGTGAATCCCAGGCTGTGGATGAACTCTGTGACTGTCATCACAAGCAGTCCTAGTAGGTAGATGTGTTAGCCTATCTGTAGTCATGCAACCAGCTCATTCACTTCCTTGACTTCTGTTTTTAATTTTTTTTTTTTTTTAGATCAAAATTCCCTCTTTGCAACGGGCTGCAAGAACCTAGATGCTATTCAGGATGAACTGTTGAGGGATGCAAGAAATTTAGTCTTTTCATATTCAAGTACCCTGCAGGAATTGCATTCTAGGCAAAACAATCCCAGGCATAAAAGACACAGATCTTACCCAGGGAGGTGAGGAAGTGAATGTTGTCATTCCCCAGCCAGAACTCTGTCAGTTGGTTGCCAAATCCTCGTTTGTATGAATTCCAATCTCGTAAAAAATTCACTGACCCGTCCAAGCGTCTCTGAAAAACCTGCAGGCAACAAGGGAGTATTGGCACTGCCAAGTCATTTCTTACTAAAAGAGACCCAGCACCACCTGGCAGCTAACAGCGGATGATACAGCTCTCTTCAGCAAATTCTCCTGTTAGGCTGTTCCTGAGCATAGCTGAGAGGAATGAACTCAGAAGGAAGCTCTCTCACAAATCTGCCCCATTTGAGTTTGAAAACGAAGAGGGATTTGATGGCTTAACTAGGAATGGGAGTAGGCCTGAGGTGCTTGTCCTGCTACCTGAAAAATGTCCCAGGAGACTACCTTGCTTTCAGGTGGATTCACCTGAATGACATGGTCCTCATGAGATGGACCTTCATGACATGGACCTCAGCTGTCCCTTCATGACATGGACCTCAGCTGTCCCTTCTGTAACCCAGTCTTGGGCCATATGACTTTCCGTATGTGTTTTTTCCTGTCTGGGGTGCTTTCCTTCCCTTCTGCTACTATTTTGGTACTATTCTTTGGAGCTTTAATAAAAATCGCTATAGGGATATACAAGTCCCCTTTGTCTGATATTACTCACAATCCATCCTCCACCATCTGTGTCCATATCACAAAAGACCATGGTGGCATTGCAGCCTTGGGGGTAGATGGTATACCAGCCACTCAGGATCTTCCCTCTATCTAGCAGCTCTTGGCAATTCTTGGCTCCTGTGCAATTCAGGGAAAGACTTGAAGTGAAAAGAGTTATGTATAACACGCTCACCATGTCCAGAGAGCATACCAGCCTCAGGACTTGAGCAGCTGCTTTGAGCCCTTCATCGTCTCAACCAGCTCTTCACGCTTCAGGGCTCAGAATTCCACCTACTCAGAACCAAAACATGCTGCAGTTTCTTGGCCAAAATGTGATGCAGAAGATGGGTACTTTCTAAGAGATGATTTAAGGTACTCAGATTCCTGTCATCTGCAAAGGGAGCTGGGAGCTGAGATCTTTCTGCGGGTCTGGGCATAGAGCTGCTCAGAGCAGGATAACAAATTCGTTATCCAGGAGTTTGTCTGGGCTAGGGAAGTGGGAAGTCCTGAGGGCATGTGAGTAGCTGGCAGCAAGAGGGTGGTGACACAGAAAAATACCTACCTATAATATAGAAGAAATTGCTCAGATCATCTTCTCCTGAGGACTGGACAGATGGCACTCCAGAATATGTACATATATCTATATGTATAAATTTATTTTTCCTCCCTAAAAACATACCTGATCACAACAGCTCAGATTCCAGGAGCCAAAGGATTGACTGGAAAGGTCCATATCAAGCATCTCAACTTACAGCTGGGTATGTGGCATGCTGTCATTGGAGGGGGCTTGGGAGATGAATGGCAATTGAGCATCCTCAGTGGGTCAGATGAAAAGACCCCCCCTGTCCTATCCCAAATCCAGTGCTGTAACAGAGAGCCATGAATGGCCAGTACTGTTCCCTAGTGAGATGTACTGCTCACCTTCTGCAGGCAGGACTTCCCTCTGCTCTTTAGTTTGTCTCTGTGACAGGCTGTTGCTAGTGGCTGGTGCTGCAGACACCTGTCTGAGTGGGCAATATCTAAAGGATGGACTCACAGCTGTACAGCTGGGCTGTCCCATGGAACAATGAATGACTGAAGGCTGGTCCCTGGACTTGTGCTGTTCTTTATTAGTCAAAGCCTTTTTCATGTCTAGGCAAAAAAAAGGGCATAAGAGTGCCCGGCACAGTGGTGGGTCAGTTGAGTGGTATCTTACTCTCTCTCTTTCAGCTGTTAATGCAACATTTCTCTAATCCGTCTGATCCTCTGAATGTGATTGCTGCCCTGCTGCATCTGAATGTAGCCAGAGTGCATTGCAGTTTAACCTTAGCTTTAGCTCATGGATATATATGGATTAATTAAGATTTGTTTGTTTTCTTTATGCTTAGTTAATGGTTAACTTAAGCTGAGTACTAGCACACATGTGAACTCAGCATCTACTGAACTTGCCACTGTGAATGTGGTGTTTTAATCAGCTTTGAGGTAGCAGGGTGCCTGCAGAGGGCTTTCTAGTGATTCTATCTTGGAGATACTTAGATTGTAAAAGACCAAGATAGACCTCCTCCACGTCACACAGGAGACTCATGGGAGTGCAGGAAGGCAAATTACTTGACTAGCACCCAAAGAACATGACTTTTCTGTCCTAGCTGGAGTGACAGAATAGCCACTCTGAAGTTGTGTTGCTGTGAAAAGCGAATGGGTTAATAGAAAGGTATTTCTTTAGTCTGTCCTTCAGTATTGGTATGAATTTGTTTTCATTGCTGCCCTGAGCTGACTTCTAGTGCAGGTGGTCTGCCTTCCTATTTGTCATCACTGATCTGCTGTGCAAAGCCAGTGGTGTCAGGAAGGACCCAGGGTGAAACTCACCCAAAGTTGCTGGAAATCCAGGCTCTCCTTTTGTTCCTGTTGGACAAAGAACACCATCAGTTGCTCTCTGCTCTTCGTACTAAGACCTCCCCTCTTCCATCCCTTCACATTGCTTGCTTTTCAAGCCAAATCCTACTGGAACAGCAGTGTTGGTGAATAATATGATTTGCAGCAAGGAGAACCAAATGGCAAAACTGGCACAAGCTGTATTTCTGCCAGAGCTGGCTGCTCTGTCTGCTGCTGGGCCAGTTCAAGAAGATAGCTGCCAGCATTTTTTTCAGATGAGTCTTGTTGGGCTGAGACACTTGGGACAGAGGCCAGTAGGTGTGGAAAGGAAGGGGAAATGCACCCAGAAAGGAAGGTAGGGGAGGAAAGTCGTGAGAGGGGGAACAGTTGCTGCTGGCAGAGGGCTTTACTAGATCATTTGGAAGCAGCTGTGACAGCTGAAGGAAACGTGCCAAAACGGTGACCAGATCAGTAGTATTTGGCCCATTATTATTACAAGCCAAGCTCTAATGTTACAAGCTGTAATGTGGCCGGTGCTCAGATATAAATGCTGGTAGTCCTAATATGCAGGGTAATGATACCATGAAAAACCATTTCCCTTGTACTCTGTTGCTAGTGCTGGTAGAAAGACGTACCTCTTGCACTAGCACTGAAGAAGTTTCATGTGAGCCTTTCTACAGGCCACCTGATCAGGAAGAAGAAGTCGATGAGGCCTTCTACAGACAGCTGGAAGTAGCCTCACTATCACAGGCCCTGGTTCTCATGGGAGACTTCAACCACCCTGACATCTGTTGGCAAGACAGCACAGCTAGGCACAAACAGTCGAGGAGGTTCCTGCAGAGGACTGATGATAATTTCTTGACTCGGGTGGTGGAGACGCCAACGAGGAGAGGTGCAATGCTAGACCTTGTACTAACAAACAAAGAAGGTCTAGTTGGAGATGTGAAGGTTGGGGGCAGCCTTGGCTGCAGTGACCATGAGATGGTGGAGTTCAGGATCCT